TGGATTTAAGGTGCGATTAGAGACTGCCATTCAGAAGATACCTAAAATAATAAAATGTAGCCATTTACCATTTAAACCCTTAACTGGACATCCCTGAAAATCAAACATAGGTTTTGGAGTAGTGAGTAGCTAAATAGAGGGTGCATGTAATAATAATAATTATGTTTACTAATGAACATGCACAATTTCACGCTTCAATTGTTCGGGAAAATAGCTTGTAATAATTCATTCAAAAAATACCTCTTGAAGGTTCAGGTATAAGTAATTAGAGAATCACCAGCTAGCAAGTTGGATTACCAATAGCACCACACTGAAAACTTCAAGGACAAGCGGAACCACAGTTCAAGTTATCACACTCGAGCAAATGCTGAGGACATGTGACAAGAGAATGTTTACGATTTTTGGTAGGTGTGGTTTAGTCCGAATAAACAGGACTCTAGGAGTACTTATTTTAAAATTACCATAAATCAAAATGCTATCAGTTTCTCTTATTACTGCACTTAAATGAAGTATAAGAATCAATGTTTGCACAGCTGATGTTAGTTGAGAGATAACTGATGTTATCACTGAGAACCAAGGAGCGTACGACGATGCAGGATAATGGCTGATCTTACGGAATATCGGACGAGGGTGTTCTTTGCAGCATAACTTTAAGTATAAGTCACTAAACTTTCTTGACTTTCTGTATATAGTAGGGCTAGAGTGTGTCTTTAAATCAGTGCATGAATGATCTAAATTGGCAATTCATAGGTTGAGAAAAGTGTGTCCGAATATAGGTGGAGTCCGATCATTGATAGTTTACTCTATCCAGGAATATAATAATAGGATAACCGGGTGGGTACATATCTATGAAAATATGTACGGGCGTGACCGTTAAAGGGCGTGTCAGTCTACGCGTTCATTAATTTACAGAGAAGCGCAGCAGAAAGAAAATGAAGGTCCTAGCTATTTTTATTTCCATAGCATCTCTTCTTGCAGGTGAGATTAGCTGCTATGCTTTTGGTGTTACGAAACGAGCGCAAAAATACGCGCAAATTATTTTTGAGTGGGTGCCAGGATGGTACATTTTTACTCTCCTCTATTAGGCTGTCATTGCAGTGATGATTTGGCGTCTTCATATCAATTCAACGTGACCCTAGTGCAGGATAGCTATTGGCTCTATTGGAACTTCAGCAAAACTGCTGAGGAGATAAAATTTGCTGTGAGAGTTAAGACCACAGGATGGATTGGATTTGGGCTCTCCCCCAATGGACAGATGCCTGGATCTGATGTTGTTATAGGATGGTTGGATGGACAAGGAACTCATTTCAATGTATGAGTAATAAAAGAGTAATTTATACTGCTTGCATTATTTATAGGATCGATACGCTACAGCACGTTCTACCCCACCTATTGATGCAAAACAGGATTGGTTTCTAACCAGTGCCAAGGAGGATAATGGTTACACTGTATTAGAGTTTAATCGCAAATTTAAAACATGTGATGATCATGATCTAGATATACAGGTTAAGAATTAAAGTAATGTAATAATAGCTTATTGATTATACCTATAGTATGATACTGCTCGTGTGATATGCAGTTGGAATAATGAAAAGCCAACTTTAAACTCTGATGGAACTTACAGCATTTCTGCTCACACTAACGTAGGAGGAAAACATGTCAATCTTCTTGGAGGATCACCTGATCCGCCTAAAATTCAAGACAATGCAGGAACTTTTACTGTTGCTGCTAAGGAGGTATTCACTGTGATGTACGGTACGTATTATGTATTACCCAACACAGGCTAGAGTCCCTAATGTTGATACTACATATTGGTGTGAAGCAATGAAGCTACCTCAAGCTGTTTTACAGAATGAAAAGTACATCGTAAAAGTATGCATTTAAATCTTCTGAGAATAAGCATTAAAAACTTTATAAATTCATTCCTAGTATTCTCCTAATATCACCATTGGGAGTGAACCTCATGTCCACCACATGCTCCTGTATACTTGCGATGGACTTGAAGAGTCAGACCTGGTTTCAGGGGGTGACTGTTTTGATGGAAGTGTAAGTAGCAGAGTCACTGCCTGCACTTCACAGTCAGAACTCCTTGCTGGATGGTCTGTTGGTGGATCTGTGAGTATTATATCATGCATCAATCATACACAATAATATAATTTATGTATCGATCATATAGGACTTTATATATCCTGAAGATGTTTCTTTCCCTATTGGTGGACCCAACAGCCCACAGTATATAGTCATAGAGATACACTACAATAATCCTAATTTGCTATCAAGTACAGCTAACTACATATAGTTTAACTTATTATTAATCTCAATAGATATTATTGATAGCTCTGGTTTAATATTCACTTACGAGGAGAGTCCTAGAGAGCACAGTGCTGGTGTGATGGTTGTTGGACATGAAATCGACTATAAAATGGTTATACCTCCAAATAGTCCTAATTTCACTGTCACTTCAGTATGCTCAGATTCTTGTACTAGACAAGTAAGGATGTGCTTGCCCCTTATGCTAACTTTATTGTCATTATTGCATTAGAATTTCCCATCAGGAGGGATAAATGTGATTGGGAGCATGCTCCACACTCATTACACAGGTATAATGTTTAGTTATGTGATCTATTGCATGCTGTACTAATAATAGGTGTTGGTTTGTCATTGCGTCGAGTGAAGCAAACAACTTGTGATGGAGTCACTTATTATGAAGAAGTGAAGCCAGTTGATAGGAACCTTCGCTTTGATTTTAACTATCAGCAAACAACACATCTTCCCCAACCAGTCAATGTTCTACCAGTATGTTTATACTCAACCAATTATTAGCTATAATAAGCAATGCAATTGCTTTTAGGGCGAAACACTGATGCTACAGTGCCACTATGACACTACACAACGCACTGGAGTTACACTGGTATAAACTATTATGGTTATAAGATTAGAATTATGTCTTTTTATAGGGAGGACTCTCCACTAGAGAGGAAATGTGTTTCACTATTCTTGTATATTACCCAAAAATAGATAATGAGTTTTGCCTGAGTTCACCAATGTACGACAAGTACAATGATTTTGTTGATCAACATGTACCGTGAGTTTTGAAATTGTTCAAAAATCTTGTTAAATTCAATTATAGTGATCAGCATAAAGCTGCATTTAGGGCACTTGTGCCTGAAAGATCATCAAAGTCAGACTATCAGATCACGTTTGATCTGTTGGAATGGAATAAAACACAGATTGCTGCATTTGAACAGCTAGTATACACAACAGGAACACAGAGGAGTGTTTGCCCTTCGGTTTGTTGAGTAACAATTACTTATATGCATTATAATTCACTCTTTGCTATAGGAAATTGTAAATACGGTACCATCTCTCTCTTGTTTGTATGAAACGACTGATACATGCACAGGACAGGAGCCACCGACTTGCTGTGAGAGGATCAATGGTATAGAGGTCACTGCTAGCTCTGCTAGTGCCCTACATTTGTGCATTTTCCTGATTTTAACTGCAGTAGCAGTTTCAATCTTTTTGACTGGATTATGCTAATGAGGATGCTCTGCTTGTTTTTGCATGAACTTAATATGTTGTTGTTGACTCTGTCTTTCGTAAATTGCTTTTAGTTTTGTAGTTTTATGATGCCTTGATATTTTGTTGTTTATAATAAAGTATTTTCATGAGATCATGTTATGGTGGTCTGACTGAATGGTGTGAAATTTCATCAGCATGATGAATACTGGTCTAATTTGATTCATCTACAGGGTCTACTGCAAAGCTAGACAGTGGGATATGTTATTCCCCATAAATACATACCTCATGATTACTATTATACCGTAACCTTTCAAAGATGAAGAAGACAGCAGCTCATCTTTTCCTGTGTCTGGCTCTAGCACTATTCCTTGCAGGTTAGCTGCAAATATGGAGGGCGGGGCTGCAACCAAAGCCTTTGTACATTTGTATCTAGGTACAGCTTCTTCCCAGTCTTGCAATTCTACTGGCGCAGTTCGTTTGGTGTGGGGCTCTGGTGGATGGGAAGGGCAAGTACAGATATGCCTAAATGGTGTTTGGGGCTGGGTCTGTCACAATGGATTCAGCAATGCTGATGCACAGGTGGTCTGTCGTCAGCTTGGATATGGGACCTCAGGTATGAAAATGCAGAAAAACTAGCTATCCTTTGAACTAATTAAACAGGAGCCATTGCCAGAACTAGCTCATACTATGGTTGGGGTAACGGAGTAACATGGATTGATTATGTTGGTTGTTCTGGATCAGAGACTAACATATCAAGCTGCAGTTACTCAAGTTCTCTAACTAGCTCTTGTACTATAACCACAATTGCTGGTGTCGTATGTCAAAGTAAGCAATGAATGGTTGTATTTGTTACTGATAACTTGTATAGGTGGTGGGTCTTGTACAAATTATGATGTTCGTTTAATTCCAACTTCATCATCTTATCGATCATATGGTCGCGTTGAGGTCTGTCTTAACAATCAGTGGGGCACTGTTTGTGATGACGGATGGAGTACTTATGATGCAACCACTTTTTGCAGACAACTGGGCTATTATAGTAAAATACTCACTCATGTTTATTTCATTAATAAATTATCATCTATCAGGTGGTGGATCAAGCTGCTGTGCTAATTATGGACAAGGCTATGTTTCTATAGCTATTAGATATGTCAGTTGCTCAAGCAGTCATTACAGATTCTCACAGTGTGGCTACACTGCTGGTTCAAGTGGGTGCTATCACTACGAAGACGCTGGTGCTACCTGCTATGGTCAGTTAGGAAAAAATTCACCATTTTTATCATACACGTACATACTGCATAGCAAATTTAAGGTTTATCAATTTTTATTCAAAAATTTGGCTTAGCACCCTGTACAGGGTATAACATGAAAACGAAAATTCTCATGGCATTTTATGATACATGCGTTTATGTTAGTATGCTACATAGCAAATATTAGCTTATTCTGATTAAAATTGGATATTTTACAAATTTTGAATTTGCTACAAAATTTGGACAAAGACCATGTACAGCAAAATTTTGAAAAAAGCAAAGGCTATAGCTTATAGTTTTTTCAAAAAATGGCTCCAAAATCACCCCAATTTTTAATTACATTTTCTGATGCACATTGATGTCCTTAGGTTATGTAGCAAGTTTGAACTGATTCTCACTAAAAACTTTTAAATTATGGCCTTTTTTAAAATTCGCCAAATTTTGAAAAAAACAAAGGCTATAGCCCATGGTTTTTTGGAAAATTGACTTCAAAATCGCCCCAATTTTTTAGTATATTTTCTGATATGCACTGATGCTCTTAGCTTATGTAGAAAGTTTGAGCTGATTCCAAGCACAAATTTTAAAAATACAAAATTTTGAAAGAACCATGAGCTGTAGCCCAGAGGCGTATTTAGGGGGGGGCTGAGGGGGCTTGAGCACCCCCCTCAGGGCTGGACTCAGAAAAAATTACTGAAGTCCTGGACTCTTGCATCACTACCAAGCCTCTTAACAAAGTTATCTAGCACCCTTATCATGATTTCAGCAGTTTCCAGTGCTTTAAGGAGCAATCACAAGTACCAGTAACATAGCAGTATGCTTGAAATGATCTTGGCCCCACCCGTAATTGACGAAAATGCAGGAAAAGGCCGTTTTACCGCTGTAAAAGTGGGTGGGGCCAAAATTGCGGCGCACTTCACGCGCCCTCAGCACCCCCCTTTTCCAATTCCTAGATACGCCCCCTGGTAGCCCATGGATTTTCCAAAATCCATATGCAAATTCTTCAATCATATTTTGTAGGAAGTTTGAGCTTATACCTGCACATAATAAATTACATTGCTTTTATGTTCTTAGGTCGATTGACCACGTCCTGTAGCAGTGGGCAAGTTAGATTATGGAGACCATCAGGTGACAATGGTCCCACTCACGAAGGAATTGCTTTGTACTGCAGAAGTGGTTCTTGGAGAGCAACCTGTAATTATAACTTCAACTGTCACACAGCAAGAGTGATATGTCAACAATTGGGATACCCTGGAGCAGTAGGTTAGTATAATATTAGTGCAGTTTTGTAGCCTAGCATTGCCTTCATAAACGTGATTGCTGTCTGAACTATAGTCACTTGATGTCTTCATTAAATGATTAAATTTATATCTTATCATGCAGGAATAAGGTCTTTCCGTTATTACGGGTACTACAACTACTTTGATGACTACACCATTTCGTGTAGTTCCAGTGCCAACAGAATTAACCAGTGCAATTACTATAGACCAGGCTACTACTACTACACATACTATGGCTACCGGTTTAGGGCATACTGTACAAGCAATACTCAAATAAGTGGAATTGTTTGTTATGCCCCAGCACAAAGTGAGTATCAGTCTTATATGTGAAGTAAATTACATTATGCATGGATATTTAAAGGTGATGTTTGTACCAATGGAACAGTGAGACTAGTCAATGGTACTACTAGTAATGAAGGTAGAGTAGAGTACTGTTATGAAGGAGACTGGGTACCATTCTGTGGCATGTCGACACTGACTGCTTCACGCATTTGCACTCAGCTGGGATACAACTACACTTGTAAGAGTCATTTGATTTGATTTTTTTTTTGATAAACAATATTTGCTTTATTAGATGGTAGTGTCATTGAAGATGAAAGATTTGGGAGGACAAACAAAATGAGTAGTTTCAATCATAAATATTGCAGCAGTTCACATCAGACATTGTCAGACTGTGTTGAAGCTAGGAAAGGGAGTTCTTGCTACATTACACTGTCAAGGTGTTCTATTGAATATGGTCTACGATGCTACAGTCAGTAACATTATGAACTATTAATTATTATCTTAGCCTTTTAAGATCCTGGTTTATGCAG